GCATGGTCTTGTTCCAGGTTGGAGGTTGAGAGGTTTCAGCTCCTCCCCCCCTCTCCCCGGCCCGTTCCCTTGCACTCCCATTCTGGCCTAGTAGGAAGTGGGGATACTGAACAGTGGGACAATGAGCTCAGCTGGCAGGATTCAGAGCATGGGCAACTGGTGCTTCCTGAGTCGGGGGGGGGGGGGGGCCCCTGTGGCCCCCCCCCCCCCCCCCCCCCCCCCCCCCTCGCGACACGCCCGCGCGGGGAGGGGAGCCCCCCTGTGGCCAATCCTGCCAACCCAGAAGTGGCAGTGGCATGCTGCTGGCACTTCCAGATGTGGTGCTGGCACTTCTGGGTGGGCACAATCAACCGCAGGGGGACTGACCACGGGGGTTGCTTGTGCTGGCACCCCCACTACCCAGCTGGCCCTCTCAGAGGCGGGCACCAGTGCTCTCACCTGCCCCCCTGCCTGGGAACGCTGGCTGTCGGGGTGTGCACCAGTGCTCTCAGGGGGTGCATGTGTACCCCCTACGCATCGCCACTGATTCACAGTAGCTGCCTGTAATGATCCCTGCTGAAATTGATCAAAGGCCTACTATAAAACTTCTGCAATGAAGCCTGGGTAACCTCTATAAGACTTAGGCAGGATCCTATCCTACAACCCTGGTTAAGTGCACTGATCCAATTACTACAACATCAACAAGAACTGACCCCAAGTGACTTCCCTTTGATTGCTTCTAGAGCTACATTTAAGGAACTCCTCCAGCACCTAACTATTGTTGAACAACACACTGGTCATCAGTTTCTGAGCAGCTCTTCTTTCAGCAATATCTCAGCCCTTCCTGGTTTGTCATCTTGCAGAATTAAATTCAGATACATGTGTTTCTAGTATGGGCAACTGGTGCCACCTTAGTGCCCCCCCCCCAGCGACCAGTCAACGACCGGGGGTGGGGGAGCATCCCCCCATGGCTGTAGCTCCCACAGTGTTCCCACTCCCCGGCCGGCGCTTGCAGGGAGTCACCAGCTCTCCCCCTGTCTCTCTGCCCATTGCCTAAGTGGTGAGTGCGGCCGTTGACCCCTGTGTACCCCCTACATGTCACCACTGGTTCCTAGAACAGAATGAGAGCTTACATGGCACAGGTTTGAGGTTGTACTGACAAATAGAGAGGAATCTACTCGTCTTACTTTCTTATCATTCAACACTGTAAAAAGTGCACTAACTGTGAAAACCAGAAAGGAACTTCTTAAGTGAGACATATTTAGACTCTGCAGCTGGTTCAGGCTGCACATCAAGGTGCAAGCTGTGGGGGTGGGGTGGCCATCATAGAGGACAGCCCACTTGCCCTCTGTCCTCTATTGATAGGCACCTTTTCTCTATTGTCCACCTGGCACCTTTATGTCTTCTATTTTTATCTTCAAGAGAAAAATAGAGGACATAAAGGCATCTGGTTTTGTATCAACAGACGACAGAGTAGCAGAAAACCAGAATGTCGTCTATGACGGCCACCCTATGTAAGGAGAAGGAGACAGCCATGGTGAGTTCTGGCTCTATGTCCACCTTTGTTGTGATTCTGAAAAGGTCTTTCATTTTTCACAAAAAGAAAAAAGTAAAAAAGGCACTACTGGGATTTTAAGCCCGGGTTTTCTGTCTACTAGGCACATGTTTTAACCAATTAAACTCCAGCTTGCTTCCACGCACATGCCTTCCAAAAGTGCCTTTCCTCACATATGCCTCCACTCATCCCACTGGGGTGGAAAGCTCTAGTTTGCTCTGGGAACTGCAGCAGAAAAGCCTCTCACGGGTGATGGAAGGTGGTGGGGTATAGGAATTCTTCACAGACCTGACCCAGGCTTCAGATTTACTTCTCTCTCTTGTACCCACAGTGCACTGAAGTGATACTAATTCTGACCTGTCAGCTGCACACCACCTCCCAGCAGGTCCCTGGAGCCTCTTCTTGTTTAGAGGTGATCTTCTCACAGGCATTTGCTCATGACGCTGCCTCCTAAATCCACCCTAGCAAGTACAGTCAATGCCTGGAGTAGGCCCTGTACGCTCACTATGTCTTTGCCAAAAAGGCTGGTTTGAATTCCAGGGTGGTGTCTTTCATGTGATTTGATGAAGGACCAAATGTCAGGTCCAACTTCACATGAGTGTGTCATCACAAAAGACATCAGGAACTTCACTGTGTGATTTTCATTCGGTCATAAAACCACATACCCAGGCTAGCAGCAAAGATTGCAATCTGGGTACCAAGAATTGTTTAATCCTCGCTCAAGGGAGTGGCTGAGGGCTGTTATTGCCAGTCAACAACTTGCAGAGCCCAGAAAATACTGCCTAGCACAGGGGTGGGCAATTATTTCAGGCGGAGGGCCACGTACCAAGTTTTGGCAAGCTGTTGAGGGCTGTATTTCCCCCTCCAGCGCAGGGAAGCAGGAACAGCCCCATGGTCCCAGGCCAGAAACCTCTGTTAGGCAAAGGTTTCGGGGGGGGCAGGGCAGGGCAGACCTTGCTGCTGGATCCTGCCCCCAGCTTCTTCTGGGTCCTACTGACCCTGTCTCCTGTCATCTTTGGCAGGCAGCTAGGAGCAAATAAATTTTGATTTTCTAATTTTTTAGGGGCCCTGCAGGCTGGATAGAATGGCCTGGCAGGCCAGATCCAGCCCCTGGACTGTATTTTGCCTACCTCTGGCCTAGCAACTCTTCACCTGACAGTTCCTGTGAGGGATGCTTTCCTTCATTAGCACAGGTATTTTTTTTTCTGAAGAACCCAGTTGATTCCTATGAAGCCTTATGTCTCTCTGAACAAGGTAGTTTATAATGTACCACCCTGCCCTGCCTTCTGTCAATCTAACCAAGCAGTCATGCCATCAAACAACTGTACCTTTGTGACAGCTTCTCATTGGTGCTTATTTGCATATCGTATGCAAGAACAGATTATGGGGATGGTGTTCCATATCTGCATGTCCTCCACTTGTAGCCATGGGCAAGAGAGTGAAAATCTCTTGTGTGCTTCTTTTCACTGTAACAATATGTTCTAACTGCTTTTAACAGCTTGAATAGAAGATGCTATGGGAGCCAGGCTTGAGTGAGCCTGCTCTGCCTTTTAAAATTGTGACACTGATATTCAAATTGATGCTGTGCTTGCTAAATACAAAAGAACTGAGATCCTTGAGACTGCCCAAGGTCTAAAAGAGTGAACTTATTTCTGCAAGCAGAACATGAAAAAAATCCCCTTCAGCAGCATGGAAGAGTAGCTTTAGAGCAGTGGCCCCACATGGTGGTAATTAGCACACGGATGATGAGCAACAGCAGAGGAGTGGCTCCAGTTGTCGGCAGGGGCAACAAAACGAATTGAGGAACGCTGTCCATAGCACCAGTGGTGGAGACGTGTCCTTCCAACCACAATGGTGAGAAAGAGGAAAGTTCCAGGTAGCAGCTTCACTGCCTCTACTGATTACACTGTTCGCCTTGTATGGACCTAAGAAAGAACCCTGAACACACTCCCAGTGCCCCTGAACACACTGATTGTGCGAAATGGTCACTAGAGGGTTGAGTGCTATTTAAGACTGGTTTCTGAAATCTGTTTTGTTTTTTATTCCATTTCCTCTTCTCCCCAAAGAGTAATTGCTCTTCTGTATAGATATTGCCTATGAGTGGAGAAGTTTGTTCACATTGGAAATCATGAGCAGAGATTACTTCCTTCCCAGCTGCCTGCTGATTGTCTGACGTACCTTGGAAAGGCATAGCCTGGCTTTCTTCAGGGGCCTAGGTGGCATGGAGTAGGCTCAAATGTTTTGGCCTGTTGGCTATTGTGTGCCAGCAATGTCACTTCACTCGAGGATCCCCTGCCTCGACCACTTCCTGCCACAGCCTGCCATTGTACTGCATCTTCTTCCCGTCCATGTCTCATCTCCTTGAACTGTTGGACAGGGACCTGGGCCTTTGCAGATGTGCACTCCTCCTGGGCTCCTGTGGAAGAGTCTGGAGCTTTAGAGCAGTACTCTTCCAATCACAGCTTGTGCCACCCACGCCTGCTCCGTAGAAGGACACGTTCGGGGGTGAGAGGATTTTCTGGTGCTTGAGAAAGCGCTCCAGTGTCAGCAAGTGCTTCTTGGGGAATCGTCTTGTTTGAGGGTGCAAGAGCAGTGGTGGGTGGTAGGATTTTGGAAGAGAGCAGGTGGGGTCTCTGTCTCCGCTTCCAGGGACCGTGGTGGAATTTGGGTGGCCTGGGCCAGCCAGTGATGCCTCTGCCTGACCCAGAAGCAGTCCTCCAAAAGAATAGGAAGGAAGAGCTGAGGGCACCCAGCACACCACGGCAATGGAAGGAGGCAGGCCAGATCCCCATCCCTCGATACTCACCTGCCATCTTGTCTCCAGTTCGCAGAGGGCTGTGCCACCGTGTCTGTCCTAGCACACCCCGTGATGGGCTGGCAGCCATGTCAGGTAGTGGCATGGATCAGCCCCACCTGCAGCTGCATGCCAGAGAAAGAGGCCTCACATGGGCTGCAGGCCCAAGGGCCAGCCCGAAGCACTAAGGGGTGGCCTGTACAACTGGAGACACTCGAGTTTGTCAGCCAAGCTTGGAGGCAAAAAGCAGCTTTGGTCCTGAGGGCCGTGCCCACACGTGGCCCAGCACAAAGCTGACCAAAGTGGGCAGGGGCTGGGAGGGAAAGC